AGTGCAATTGTGAGGGGCAGACCCTTTTTTGGGACTTGTTGTCTCTCAGGATCAGTATCTCTTGCCTGCTTCCCCAGCAGAGCTGGCCTGGTTAAGGCATCGCTTTGCTAAGCCTCCGTGTAGTCCTTGCTCACCTTGCTGTAGGAGCCCTGGTCACGAGGTGATGGGGACAGCTGGCATGAAAAGTAAAGCCAGGCAGAAGCGGTTCAACAAGCCATGTCTGCTGAGTCCTATAACTGATCTCGTAAACATTTCTTGAGTTAAACCTGGTGAAAGACAAGCCTGAGCCAAGATCTTTTAAACACAGGTTGGGTCCCAAGAAATAGTCTTACCTGGAGCTCCCGGAGGTGCTGTTGTGGGTTGAATTGAAACGGTGTTGGAACCAGAGGGGAATGTTGTTGTCTTCTGCCTTTGCAGATAAGACTGAAGGGCATTTTGCCAGGAGCCTGTGGGAAGGACCTAAATTGTGTATAACTCTACATCATTTTAAAATGAAAAGTAAACATGCACAACCATAATATTTGCTTGTACTTGTCTCCTCCTTGATGGATGGAGAGAAATTGCTCTTTGGCTGATGAGTTCACCAGCAATAAAACCCTGCAGTTAACTCATCTTCATCCCAAGCCTGCAGTGAGTGGGAGAGGCCATTGTGATCTCTGGTTGAATTTGTCCTCTCCACTCCTGAGGGGAGTGCTGAGGGTCCTGGGGACTTCTGTACCTGTGGGGAATCAGGACTGGGTGCCACTGCAGGGACTGTGGGACTGAGCCAGGAAGGTGCCTCCTGTGTCAGGGTGGACATCATCGTTCTTTTGTGGCGTTGGCGCAATGGAGATCCACCACCACTTGGGAGAGGCGAGAGCCCTGTCTCTCTCCTGGCTGCTGTAGCCTCAGGCATGGTGTGGGGGACAAGGAAGCTGTCCCACCGGGTGGCAGGGATGAGGGACCTGGACCGTGAGCCACCAGCACTCTTTTGCTTTTTGCTGCATGTTCGTTGTAGACTTGTGGACTCACATGCACCCTGACGAGCAGTACAGGTACAACAAATGCAAACCTAAACTGAGCATTTCCATCGTTACAGCAGCAAACAGCAGTAACTTTCTCTGCTGAGGGGTGATGACAAGGCAAGCCTGCACCTCTCATGAGCAGAGATAGGGCTGTCAGGGTGACCAGGATGTGGCCGGGATGGGATGCTGGCCATGGGCTGGTGGGGGCAGGAAGGAGTGTGCGATTCAGATGCCGCCTATCTCCATGGGATGCAGCTGGCGGCGTGTCCTGGCAATGCCACGTGCAAGGCGGCAGTTGCATGGCCTGGCTGGGGCCTCTGCTCTGCCTTCATCTTCTGCAGAGGGGAAAAACGGCACCGAGCCGGTCACTTCAGGAAAGGGTCGTGTCTGCTTTGGAGCTACAGGAAAGAGCGAGGCAGTCTCCGATGGGAATGGAGCAGAGCTCCTCGGAGAGAAGGCTGTGCTGAGGTAGAGGATGGTGTGAACTGGATGGCGGTGTAGCTCTGCTTCAGTGCTGGTAAACCCCATGAGCTTCAAACTGAATTAAATGATGCCTCCTAGCTCCCTTGCTGTGCCTGAGGTCATAGAGACGAGCAATTCATTCACCCAATTCTCTCATTTTATGCCTCATTTTACATCTCCTTTTTCCCCCTGCCCCTCTCAGGGGTATGAAGAGCAGTAAAGGAGCTGTGGCTTGAGGAGGTGCAAGGTGTTGACCAAGCGGCGGCAGCTGACAGCCGGTTCTGGTTGTTGGCCTGTTTTGAGGTGGTGATACTCACTTTTGGGGGATGTCGAAAGGAGTCCAGGAATATGGAGGCTTCTGCCTAAGAAAGCTGGGGAGGAAAACGCTGCATTTCCCAGAAGTTGTGTGGGTTAAGCTGCAGGTTTTGGAGATGAGCTGTTGGGAGGCTCATCCTGCATGCATCACACGAGTATATCTCTCTCTCTTTGCAGGACTGGAAAGAAACCCAAAGTCGTGACTCCGGCGGAGCCCTGCGTGTCTCCAAAAGCCCTGCTCTGAGTTAGTCCCACCAGTGAGGCTGTGCAGCGTGAAAACCGGTACGTAAATACGAGGGGCAACTTCTCAGAAGGTTTTGTGGCTTTTCTGACAGTAGCACCTTGTTCATGGCTCTCTGCAAGTTCTCTCTTAATGGAGTGTGGAGGTGGGGGGTGGGATCACTGGAAAATACAAGACAAGCTGGTAGTTTTCCGGTGGTGCTTGCACCCCAGAGGCTTTGGTGGGGAAGGGCTTGGCAGCAGAGAGAAGCTGCAGGTGCTCAGAAGTCCTCCTGGACTACGGTGCTGAGGCTTTAGATGTGCTCTGTCGAGCTGTGTGTTATGTGGCAGCATGCATGGAGAGGTGACGGGGGGGTAATGACAAGTGCACGCACAAGAAATGCACATATATACATATATATACACACATGCTGTACAAATCTAGGCACGTGGAAACAAAGATGTGCAATGCATATATAGTATATACTATATGGTGGCGTATGAGATCTTGGGGGTGTATATACCAAATGTCTGTATATACTATATATGGCGATAAAAGAATGCATATGCATTCCTGTTCTTTTTTTTTTTTTTTCCTGTCTCTTCTGTCTTTCTGTGGAGCTGTTGCAAAACTACCAGATTCAACCTCCTGGGGAGCCTTTCTGGCCAAGGTTTTACAAGCCAGCACCTGCTTTGCCTGCCTGACTTCTTTCTATATTTATTCCTCTGTGCACCCGGTTTTTGCCTTTGCCTGCAAAGTGGAACTGTCACAAACATTTGTGCTAACTTTTGGCTGCACAGGACTTCAGCTTGCAAGTCCCAAGTCTGTTTTTGTGCACGTTGGGGGAGGAGGCGTATGTGTGCGTGGTTGTGCATGTATGCATACGAGCATCCCTTGTCCTTGCTGCCTGCATTACATGGTCTGTGTTCCTGTGATGCTACAGCAGTCCCCGCGTTCGTATGCCACGCAAGTTGTGCACTTTGCCCCTTCAAGACATTTTTATGAATCAAATATTCTCAGTTGTCCTGCTTATGTAATGTCACTTAAAACAAAATTAGCCATGCCTGACCCTGTGGCTGATTGATAATGATCTGTACTGCTGTGCAGGAGGCTTGGGTTGGATTTTATTCCCCCCTGCCAAGCTTTTACTTTCCAGGGGTAGGACTGTGGCAAGGAGATGGACTCGTGGTGCCATGTGGCAGGGAGCTCCTCGTTAGGCCATGGCTGGACCACAGATGTGTCCATCCCTCTGGTTTCTCTCCTCTGTGTCGTTTGGGGCGGATGGTGCTCTAAAGCAGACACTGAATGCCAGCTGATGCTTAGGTACCACTGTTGAAAGTGAGGACAGCAGCCAGGGAGACGATATAACGCCATTTCAGCTGGGTAACCGAGGGGAGGTCCCAGTGCTGTCCTGGGAAACGTGAATCTGGGGGAATAGCCGTGTGGTGGGTCTCCAGTCAGCAAATGCTGCTTGGAGGAGATGCATGCTTGCTCCCAGTCTGATGGGTACGACTTGTGCACATTGACAAGCAAGGCTGGGCTGCCTGCCAGGAGCTGGGAACCGGCTTGTCCTGGTGTGCTCAGGCCCCTGAGCTCCCAGCCCCTCTAACAGCTATACTCGTTTCTGGCCCAGGAGTCCCTCTAAGGTCACAAAGCTGTTAGTCCTAGGTTTCAACCCCTGGAGCCGTAAAGCAGACCCTGCCTGACCCCTGTGTGAGGGCAGAGGCAGAGTGAGCCGCCTGTGTTCCCCTGGGTTTCGTTTCCCTGTCCCCGCCGCCTGTGCCACTGCAGCCTGCATTCCTCTCCGGTTCGGTAAGCCTTTTGCCTCTCGAGCTGACACAGCTAATATTTCCCTCGCTGGCAGGGCAGGCGAGGCAGTGGCATTTAACTGTTAAGGAGAGCCTCCATCAGTTTGTGCTGCGGGAGCCCAGCGCAGCAAGGGCTGGTGTGTGCCTGGGATGGGGGGTTCCGCTATTCCAGGTGCGGCTCCTCCACGCTTTTATTCCCTTCTTTGACTTGTATTATTCCCTACTTCATCCCGCTGTTTGTCCTTGCAAAAAGCAATGCCTTGGGAGTTGCTTTCTGCAGGGAGCTGGAAAACTGAGTCAGAGTTTGTAAAACCTGTACCTGCCTGCCCCTTCTTAGCCCGGTTTTGGAGCATCTTCTAGCACAGTGACTACAGTGCTCAGAATATCTCCATTTCTGGCCATGGGGAATGCTCCTGGTGACCTGGCTGGGCCGCATGGCTCTGGGGGAGGTTTTAGTGGGTTTTTAGAGAAATAATTGATTAGCTGCCCACCGAGAGCTAGTTCCAGATTGCATTGCATTGATGTTGCCCCTGTATACCACTTAGTGCCACTTGTACTGTTGGCTCTTTAAAACTGCCTTTATAACTACCAGTGTAACAGATGTGTGCTGGTGTGGCCTTACAAGGTTTGTTTTTTGCAGTGGTAGTGATGGATCACTAAGTTAAATGTGGTTCTTATTCAAAGAGGCAGAAGGCTTCTGCCTTTAGAAAGGTTCTAAAGCAAAGGGTTACCTGTTTTCAGTCACCTGTGATATCGGGGGCTAAACTCGTGCTGCCACGGGCCCGTCATCTCTGCCTAGTTACTGGACGTAATTGTACAGCCTCTGTTGCTGCAAGATTTTGGCTCTTCCCGAAGCCTGCACTTCAGTACCAGTGAAAGCCAGATGTACTATAATGTCACTTTTTTACAGTTTGTTTTGGCCATACATGGGCAGAGTCAGCTCTGGAATTCCTTCCCTATAAATTCAATAGCATCTTGTGGGTGGTGCTGGGGAATCACTCTGGTCTGGTTGGCCTGTTCCCCTTGAAAACATCCCGGTTTGCACATTCCTGAGAGGCTGCCTGCTCCTGAAGCTGATGGCTGCAGCTACCAGGAGGCTGTCGTCCCGTGCTGGCAGGCTCAGTCACCTCCTTGCTGCCTTGTGGGTCGGCTCTTGTAGCTGAGGAGCGATGCCCGTGGGAATGGTGGCACGGGTATATTGCTCCTGCGTGCAGGCAGACCCTGTGGGGACAGTTGTGGCCTCTAAGCATAACTGTTCTGCCTCTTAAATTTGCTGTATGGGCTTGAGCATTGACCCTCAAGCCCCTCTCCCAGGGGTGGGGAGGCTGGGCGCTCCCCTGTTCCCGCTGGCCACGGGATGCTGCGTTGTGTGTCCCAGCAGGGATCAAGGGGTGCTGCCATCCTGGGGCTCCTCGTCCCCGCAGGGAGATCTCGCCTTGTCCAAGCAGCATGTTCCTTTATGCAGAGCTGTGGTGGTGGTTTTTTTTTTTGTTTTTTTTTTTTTTGTTTTTTTTTTTTTTGTTTTTTTTTTTTTTGTTTTTTTTTTTTTTGTTTTTTTTTTTTTTGTTTTTTTTTTTTTTGTTTTTTTTTTTTTTGTTTTTTTTTTTTTTGTTTTTTTTTTTTTTGTTTTTTTTTTTTTTGTTTTTTTTTTTTTTGTTTTTTTTTTTTTTGTTTTTTTTTTTTTTGTTTTTTTTTTTTTTGTTTTTTTTTTTTTTGTTTTTTTTTTTTTTGTTTTTTTTTTTTTTGTTTTTTTTTTTTTTGTTTTTTTTTTTTTTGTTTTTTTTTTTTTTGTTTTTTTTTTTTTTGTTTTTTTTTTTTGCTTTGGTAAAGCAAAATCAAATACAGGCTTTTTGCAAAGCAGCAGCTAGATGAGCCAGCCAGGGGATCTTTCCCTGCCACAGGTGAGCAGCCAGCCTGGGACCCGGCAGCGTCCTCTCTAGTGGCACTGATGGCTGAGCCTCGCCTCTTCTTGCCTTGCTGAGCTGGTGTCACTATAAACATGGCCTGAATTTGCCTATTTGCCTTCAAAGAGCACTCCAAAAAAATAGTTCTGGGAGATTTTCTGCTGATGAGTTGAGGGGCAAGAGGGAGGTTTGCTGTAGGGGGTGAGGGGCGACAGCTCCTGGAGCTGCTCCGGTTGCATCTCTCTGTGCATCCCTGGGAGGGGACAGGGATGTGGTGCCACCCACCAAGCCAGGAGCCACCAAAGCACAGGTCAAGATGGCGACGTGTGGCCCTGTGTCCTGGCTGTGCGTGGGTCAGCGGCAGCGATGTGTTCAGCTCCAGCTCCGGAGGGGCAAGGCATCCCTGTGCCAAAGCCAGGGAGAGAAGGGTGATTTTTTTTTTTTTTTGGACATCCTTTAGAGTTTTGATCTCCATATTTGGAAATGTTTACCCATTGCTCTGATCTATTGCAAGGGAGGGGAGGTGACTCAGGGTCTGGTGGAAGCAGGATTTGAATTCCTGTAGTAAGGTTTTTTTCTTTTCCCCCCCCCCCCTTTCTTTTTTTTAGCTTGTTGTGGTCAGTTTTCAGTTCTCTTGCTCCTGGACCTTGCTCCAGATTTGATCTGCTCGAGAGGGGAGCGTGTTAGCGAAGGAGCTTGCCTGGATGCTGGTAAGTGCATCATTGCTGCTTTAGCAAGCAACGGAGGTTTTTGTTTTGTTGTTTGATGGATTGCATCAAAGTGTGTGCATTGCTGGTGGAGGCAGGCATGCAGATGGCCAGTCAGCAGCAAGGGACCCAG